TCTAATCCAGCTCTACTTCTGCTAACGTTGCACGTTGAGGTAGGTGGTGACTCGGCATGTGGCACCGCATGTCGAAGCCAACTCAGTTGATGAGAGTTCACAACCTCGTCGACTAACTAGGCTTTCTTTCTTGGTACCCTTTGAATTGGATCACATGATGATTTTACCACCTGTAAGCAATGCTGTAAAGACATTCGTGGTGAGAAACGTGCAACCTCTTCATATCCTTTTTTCAGTGACCACGATTCACAGCTGTATAACAGGACAGAATAAACTGCAGGGTAATATACTCAGCTTTTAACAGGCAGTAGGAAATCTCACCAGCAGCAGAGGTGATGCAAGTTAGCAAATTCCTAGCGGGCTTTCTGCATACCAGCTGAGATTTCGTCAGCAACAAAGACGTTTGAGCTGATACAACTCGCTAAGCAAGTGAAGTGGTCGATACATTCAACCACTTTACTTCCTATCCTTAAAGATCTGATAGTGAAACTGAAGTTTCTAACAAGAACGTTATCAGTTCTAGTTTAATCACGATCCAGGTTTTTCCTCTATGCCAGCTATGACCCACTTTTATAAAAGTGAGGGTCTAGGTATGAATGACAACATTTACCATAGTTATAATGTTATAATGTATAATTTTTCGAACTAGATAGAAATAACTGGTCGCCACTAGTAGGTTTACATTCACTTATGCCTGGAGTGAGTCATCCTTGAATGTTATAAAATAGTGCAAACGCTGCAACATGCTTCCCATAAGCTATCTATGATATTTATCAGTTATTATATTATACTTGAGGTAGGTGACTAATGAATACCTTGGAATCAAACAGATGAGTACAGTATACCAGTTGAAAACTTCGCTCTATTCACTTCAACTGAAGCAATCAATGAATAATAACTTGGCTATTCATGCACTGGGTTGTAGACCATAAATTCTTCAAGTATATGCAAGAAGAGCCTCCAATATTATGCAACCATTTAAATCTTAGTACGTGGGGTAGATAAGAACACATGATTGGGTAAATCAATGTCAGGTATTCGACCATTCAGTGACATATACAGTAGCGGTCAAAAATATTAATCAGATATGCAAAATAAGAGCAGCGATTTATTTATGTAATTTACTCTAAGTAATTCTATATTAACTGGCCTATTAAATCCATATCACACAGAAGAATAGTGTTTACTAATAGATGTTATAGATACAATCTGTTGACCATAATTCGTAAACCTGAGAGTCAGTTTTATTCATAATAATGCTTGAAATATTTCCTGAATCGCAATTAGGTGAGGATGTATACTACTGACCACTTCCACGATGAGGGAAAAAACGATCAGTAGGTATTCCCTCATAGACTGACAGATCAACTTGAAATAGGAATTACCTTTAAAGATATTCCATCACTCTATTAAGAGTTAGATATAAATAAACCCGGTTAAACTTAAACGATTTCAATCCACAACAAAATATACAGGAAGGTAATAAATAAATGTGCTTCAACATTAATACATAAGTAATATTTGATTTTCTCCCTCAGCATCAGAATAGTTCGCAGAATATAGTTAACTACTTCCTAGCCGGTCCTAAGCCCAGGTAAAGAGGGAAGGCTGGGCATAGGGCCAGCAACCCTACCCCAGAAAACCAATCCAACCGCTACAGAAACTTCAAAGCACAAACAAAATATAGAAAATAATAACAATATTATTTCTCGCTGGAATCAGAGAGGCGAAATGACGCCAGTTGGTGAAAGCCTTCAATAAGCCAATTCACCGATGTGTCTTCTCTCCTCTCGATGAAAGCGAAAGTAAGCATGGGGACACGGAATGTCCACACCATGTCTGAACCCAGCAAGGCAGCCCAGATTGCAAACGAGGTGAAGAGGTATCACATTGAAGTGCTTGCAATATGCGAAAGCAGGTGGAATGGGAGTGGACTCTTCAAACTGTCAACTGGAGAATCAACAATATACTCCGATATTGTCAACCACACGACAACCACGAGTACACTGAGTTTTGGAATGGCTATCATGATATCCCCAACAGCATCGAAAGCTCTCATGCAGTGGGAACCAATCTCCTCCTCCAGCATCATGACAGCAAGGTTCAACTCAAAAGGAAGGAAAGTCACAATCATACAATACTACACTACGCACCTACAAATAATGCAGATGAAGAGAAGAGGAATTCTACAGACAACTGCAATCAACACTAGACAGGACACCACCTCAGTTGGCGATATCAAAATTCTAATGGGTGAGGTGACATGAATGCCAAACTGGGAGCAGACAACACAGGAAGAGAACAAACCACAGGCCTAGAAGCACTCGGTGAGGTGATGAACGAGAATGGAGAATTGTTTGCAGAATTCTGTGCATTCAACGATTTGGTGATTGCAGTGAGGCACTGTGTTCAAGCACAAGGATATCCACAAAGCAACATCGACTTCATCTCAATCTCAAGAAAGTGGAGACGCAGTCTACTTGACACAAGGTCAAGAAGAACAGCAGATGTAGGCTCACACCAATCACTATCTAGTGCAAACAACCTACCCTCAAAATCAAGTTAAAAGCCTACAACGACGTTGGTGATAGACCACAGTTCAAGTTCAACACCCAGAACAGAAACTGAACTAAAGGACAAAACTATAAAAAACATCTTCACGTCAGTCAGCTATCAGAACAAAATGGGAGACATTAAAGCAACATCCCTGAAGGAAACTGCATGGAAGAACACTGGAACTCTTTGAAAGACACGTGGAAGGAAACCTGGATAATCGTATTAGGAAGGAAGAAGAAAGAATGCAAGGAATGGATCTCGACGAGCAGGGAGAGGAGGATGGTGAAGCAGAAGATGAACCAGTGCAGTGCAAGAGTGAACAACGAAAAGAGGAACTGAGTACAATGTATAAAGCACTACACTGGACAAAGAAGTGAAGAAGATTGCACGCAAAGACAAAAGACACTTCCACAACACACTGGCAAGTGAAGCAGAACAGGCTGCAGGTAGGCGAGAAAGAGACCTTACAACATTGCATCAAATAACCAGGTTACCTGCTGTTTGGGAAGAGATCAACACAACACACATGAAACCAATAAAGGATGATGAAGGAAATATAATTACCAACAAAGAGAAACAAAGGAAACAATGGGCCGACCACTTCAAAAAACTCTTCAATCGACCACCACCTGCACTTCGTCCACAAATACCACCTGCAGTCCAGCCACAGAACTACAAGTGAACACAAGACCTCCGACAAAAGGAGAAGTGAAGTCATGAACAACATAAAGCTACTCAAATGTGGGAAAGCAGCAGGACCAGATGCAATCCCACCATAAGTACTGAAAACAGACGCAGAGACAACAGCGGACATGCTCACACTACACAACTATTGCAGAAAGTGTAGAAGGAAGAGAAGAGAAGGTACCTGCCTGTCGATTGGAAGAAGGGTTACCTTGTCAAACTCCCGAAGAAGGGAGACCTCAGTGTTTGCAAGAACTGGCGCAGAATCACTCTCCTGTCCACCCAGAGCAAGCAAAATATTAAGCCGCATCATCCTGGAGAGACTAAAGGATGTAATGGATTCAAAACTACGACCGGAACACGCAGGCTTCAGGAAGTACAAATCATGTGTGGACCAAATTGCAACGCTTCTCTACGCATCATCATAGAACAGAGTATAGAATGGCAGTCAACTCTACACCTCAACTTTATCGACTTTGAGAAGGCCTTTGACAGCGTCGACCGAGAAGTAATTTGGCAGGCAGTTGCTTCAACACTACGGAATACCGCAAACCTTTATCAATGTCATTCAACAACTATAATGACGACGCAACATGCCAGCCAAGTAATTCACAATGGGAAGCTCAGTGACGCCTTTGAAGTGAAGACAGGAGTAAGACAAGGCTGTCTACTATCACCCATGATATTCCTGATTGTGGTCGACTGGACTGGATCATGCAACAAACAGTGAGGAGCGAGAAGAGGGGGATACACTGGCTGGACCGATGAAAAGAACCTAGAAGATCTGGATTTCACCAGCGATGACTTGTGTCTAATGTCACACAAACTTGAAGATCTACAGGCAAAAATTAACAAGTTGACAGAAGAGGCAGGGAAGCGAAGACTGAACTTCCTTCAAGTGAATGTAGAGAAGACAGAGGTGATGAAGATATCCATCCAACCAACACCAACACCAACGCCACCACCACCACCAACAACAACAACAACAACGACAATAAACTCCAATCACCATCAACGGGAGAAACTTAAAGGAAGTAGCCTCTTTCACCTTTTCAACATTAATTTAGTCAAGTCAGTGCTTCTATGTGGTTCAGAGACTCGATGCGTCACGATAAGCACTTCCAAGAAACTACAGAGATATATCAACAGCTGCCGCCTACGCTCACTCGATACTGAAGATCAGATGGCCAGAATAAGAAGAATAAGCAAGAAGGAGCTCTGAGAACGAACTAACCAAGAACCTATCACCCAATAAATATGCAGAAGGAAGTGGAGATGGATTGGGCATACACTGAGAAAGCCGACTGGGGATATCAAGCGTCAGGCTAGGTCGTCGAGTGAATCCCTATGGGAAGCGAGGAGTTGGACGTCCGACGGTGACATGGAGGAGATCGTGCGAGGAGGAAATGAGGGCTTCTGGCTGTCGTGGAGCCACGTTCAAAAGATTTCAGAAAACAGAGTTCACTGGAGACGCGCTACTGAAGCACTATGTTCCATTAGGAACCCAAAGGACTAATAATAATAATAATAATAATAATAATAATAATAATAATAATAATAATAATAGTGCTTATTATCAATCAGCATCCGGAGCTACAAATGAGAAAAAGTTGGATACTGTCGTGCTATCTAAGTTTCCAGTTCGCATACGACAAATAAATTTGCTGAAAGTGGCCATCATGAACAATAAAAAGGCTTTAACTCATATTTCCACAATTCATCTACCTCTTTTTTTGCTATACAACAACAATAGTAATTACCTGTGACAAAAGAACTTCTGGGCTAAGGTAATCTGGTGTTCCAACAGCTGCATCACAATGAATTAATGATGTTTCTGGATCCACGCGTACAGCAGTTCCAAAATCGGCCAATTTTAAATGGCCACCAGCATCTAACAATAAATTATCCGGTTTTAAATCGCGATGAATAAATCCCATTGCATGTAGATCCGCTAAAGCAAGAATTGTTTCAGCTGCATAAAACCGACAAGCAGCCTCTGACATGTATTCCACTTCATCCATCCAACTGACAAGATTACCACCTGGTACATATTCCATAACCATATACAAGTATTTCAAATCCTAAAAATAAGCGGGAAAGTAGGAATTATTAGCTGTTTTAAACATGACACAATATCAACTGTGTAAGTGATTATATCCCACACCTGATCGACAGAAGTCCATCAACACTTTGGACCTGCTTACCTCTTGACCTTAAAACTCAAAATTACCGACCATTTTTTACATGCATAACCTTAGGCAAACAGAAATTCACACTTAATTCAATTGCCACCTGCTAACCAGTTCACGCATAGTAACTTATTTCAAGTATTACATTACTAACCAGTGATGTGAGGGTTCTTCAGCTACACTAATATTCACGTACATTGTTTGAGAGCTAGAGAAACTGCTCAGTTATCCAGATTTCATAGATGGCAATGTTAGACACAGATAGATCATATCGCCGTAAGACTTTACTGGAGACGATCAGAGAAATACTGATGTTTCTTTTGAATTACCTCCTGGCACTTCAATCATGCATTAGTTAGCGCAGATATATATGTTGATGTAAAGTGAGTCGGAAGCATACTGCGAAAAAGCCACTATGTGTTCAGCCAAAGAGTGTGAGGGAGGAAACAACTAGACATCAAATTCGGTATGGAGAAACCTTCATCGCAGTCAAGCCGGGGTCAATAATTAGTCTGCTGTAGAAACAGTAGTAAAGATAGTTGTTAGCCTGCATTAACCACTGGATTCCTTCAACCTCATCGAAACCGACTATTACGAGGATGAGGAGCGATTGTAACCTAACCATAGATTGACTCAGAGTTTCCGTAGTAACAACAGGCAGTGCTGCGCGAGAAAAGAAAAAGAACTGGAGAAGGGTATATATATTAGTTATATCGGCAGTCATTTACATATGTTCAAAAAAGTGGAACGAAGAAGGCGATAGTCAACGAGATTGTCTACGAAGCCGATGGGCCACTAACAACCTTGAAGGGCAGATGGCTGCAATATTGGGCGATGTCTGAAGAAAGGTGTAACTGGCATATAGAAATACCTCAGCTGTTTACATTCAAACCAAACCTGAAGGAGATACAGGTACCCACCTTTCAACTGATTGCAGATAAGAGATAAGAACTTTGTTTCAAGCCTGAAATGATGCGACGTAACAGTACTTGACGGATTCCCGACATGGGCTTTTAAAGATGAAGTCGCTTGAAGAGAGATGTTGTAGTAGTGTCTGATTGTGACTGACAGACTATATACAACATAGGATCTGATATAAAGAGATAAAATGAAACAAATTCAAAAATGGACGAAAATCGTCGAAAGAGAGCAACGTGGGATGCGAAAATTCTGAAATTCAGAGTAAAGTATAGGGTGAAGAAAATATGTGGAAGCATTTGTGCTACCGCGTTCGACTTTGAGCCAAAATACCAAACGTCAGCAGCCACTGGTTTCTACCGTCATGCAGACCTTAATCAAAAGTCTACATCCACCTACACGGCTTAAATTAACAGTCGACGACTTCATCCATTGATGTGATGTTTCAGCCCGGTTACCTCTAGCTTTTCTCCAGCCTGAAACCACTTCAGGTAGCAGGGTACGACGAGGCAGCCGCTGACAACGTATGAGTAACACATATCCCGGTCACCCCAACCACTGAAGGTGTATATTTTCACAGAAACTAAACACCTGACTTTCCGTTACTGGTGAGGTGAAAAAACCACGCATGGCCTGTGATATGAAGACAAAGGTGGTTTAAAGCCTGACCAGTAAGACTGTCGCTCAAGAAGGATGGTACTCTGATAACCTTCCAGGATAGTCGGCTCAAACGTTTGCAAAACACATTAAAGCCAATTTCAACCGGCCCCTAGCAACTCTTCAGTCGGCCAGCAACTAGCTTAAACCTAAATGGGATGCAGATATCGGTCCTACAACTGTCGTCAAACTTGAGAAGGCTATTTGGAACATGAAATGAAGCAAATGTAGCAAGTGACGGTTTGCCATCAAAAGCTTTCAAGGATGGAGGTAAAAATTGCTGATCAGAGATACAAAGGTACTAGTTAGTGCTTGGGAATCAGAGTTAGTGACGTCAGACTGGTCTACTTCACTGATCATTTTGGTTTGCTAGAAACAAGAGAAGTTTCCTTATGACAACTGTGAGGGAATCAGATTAACTAACATCGTATCCAAGATCCTGGGGTTCATAACTATCCAACTACCTGTAGAAGGATAAGAATGCTGCACTGCAACTCACTATATCCTACTATACAACTGTGAGAAATGACAGTTGAAAGATATGAAGAAACTGCAAGTTTTCAAACGCAAGCATCTTGACAGCACCGCTTATGGATGGTAAAATCATCATGTGATCCAATTCAAAGGGTACCAAGAAAGAAAGCCTAGTTAGTCGACGAGGTTGTGAACTCTCATCAACTGAGTTGGCTTCGACATGCGGTGCCACATGCCGAGTCACCACCTACCTCAACGTGCAACGTTAGCAGAAGTAGAGCTGGATTAGAAGAAGGCTCAGAACGGTCAGACGAAGAAGTGGTACCAGTTCAAGAAGTCTCCAACTGTTGGTCTGTCTGAGCCGCGTAGGGAGGTGTACATTGGACAGTTAACATCCTCGAGACGATAGGAATCAATGGTTGGATACCCTAGGTGAAGTGTCTGAAAACCCGTTACAATGGTGCAGGTACATTCTCTTGTTGACGTCTTTTAGGTCTTGAGCATTTCGTGTGACCTTGATCTTCGAGTTCCTTCCTATCCCACACACTTTTGTCTACTTTAATATCACTTGCAGTATTCAGTTTGTTTTTGGCACACAGCTGTGAATTGTGGTTAGTTGAACCAAAGCATTTATGTGCGTGGCTCTATATTGATCTGGTATGTCTGTCCCTGTAGACAAACTGTCCTGAAGAGAGAAAAACACTGTTATCAGTGGATAGATCTCGAAACCCGAGTTCTACTACATTGGAAGTACGTGCTGGAATTTTGTTAATAACCTTGGTACTCTAAAGGTGAGGCAGCATCGCAAAGTGGCCCGTAGAAAATGTATCACAGCGATCCATTGGCCAGGCACATACACTGAAACACGTCTTCACTACGCTGCAGTAGAACAACTGAAGAGGTTTTTTATATGAACTATAGTAAAAAAAACCTATCGTGGTATACCCGCCCTAATCGAAGAAACGGAGATCAACTAGTTATTAGAAGGAGATAAGAACAAAGCCGAGGCTATGGCTGAATAGTTTGCTGAGGTCTTTACTCAATGGAGACGACTTCAACAGTAGAAGCTTTGAAATCGTGGACACTGACTGTGACGATGTGTTTTAGACATTAGGGATACTAGAAACAACATCAGTGCGACCAAATCATCTGTACCAAAGATTCCCAAGAGAACTTGCAGTCTACGCAGCAGGCCATTGACTATTAGATTTAGGTTGTCTTCCAGTTAAGGGATAGTACTTTAGGAACAGAAGGAAGCCATAGTGACATCTATCCGCACATCAGGTCCCAAGCAGCAGCTATCAAAGTAAAGACCGATAAGTTTGACTAAAACTGTAGCTAATTATTATTATTATTATTATTATTATTATTATTATTATTATTATTTGTCCCTTGGGTTCCTAATGGAATACAGGGCTTCAGTAGCACGTCTCCATTCCACTCTCTTCTTTGCAACCTTCTCAACCTGGCTCCACGACTACCCAGAAGCTCTCATTTCTCCCTCACACGATCTCCTCCATGTCACCCTCGGACACCCAACTCGCCGTCTCCCATCTGGGTTCCACTCGAGTAACTGGTACGTGGTGTCCCGGAATGGTCTTCTCAGTGCATGCCCAATCCATCTCCACTTCCTTCTGCATATTTGTTCACCGATAGCTTCTTGGTCGGTGCGTTGATATGCTAGCGCTCCTTGGTTGCTTATTCTTCTTATTCTGGCCATCTGATCTTCAGTATCGAGTGAGCGTAGGCGGCAGCTGTTGATGTATCTCTGTAGTTTCTTGGAAGTGCTTATCGTGACGCATCGAGTCTCTGAACCACATAGAAGCACTGACTTGACTGAATTAATGTTGAAAATCCGGATGTTGTTCACGCTTTATGCTGAATGCAGAAGATCTCCACACTGGTTTCAGGCTAATGAACGACTGTCTTGCTTTTCCGATTCTGACTTTGACATCTTCGTCTGTGCTTGTGCTGCCTGTAGTTGAAACAGTGCTGCCTGGGCAGGTAGATGAAAGAGGCTACTTCCTTTAAGTTTCTCCTGTTGATGGTGATTGGAGTTTGTTGTTGTTGTTGTTGTTGTTGGTGGTGGTGGTGGTAGTGGCGTTGGTGTTGGTTGGATGGATATCTTCATCACCTCTGTCTTCTCTACATTCACTTGAAGGAAGTTCAGTCTTCGCTTCCCTGCCTCTTCTGTCAACTTGTTAATTTTCGCCTGTAGATCTTCAAGTTTGTGTGACATTAGACACAGGTCATCGCTGCCGAAATCCAGATCTTCTAGGGTCTTTTCATCGGTCCAGCCAGTGTATCCCCCTCTTCTCGCTCCTCACTGTTTGTTGCATGATCCAGTCCAGTCGACCACAATCAGGAATATCATGGGTGATAGTAGACAGCCTTGTCTTACTCCTGTCTTCACTTCAAAGGCGTCACTGAGCTTCCCATTGTGAATTACTTGGCTGGCATGTTGCGTCGTCATTATAGTTGTTGAATGACATTGATAAAGGTTTGCGGTATTCCGTAGTGTTGAAGCAACTGCCTGCCAAATTAATTCTCGGTCGACGCTGTCAAAGGCCTTCTCAAAGTCGATAAAGTTGAGGTGTAGAGTTGACTGCCATTCTATACTCTGTTCTATGATGATGCGTAGAGAAGCGTTGCAATTTGGTCCACACATGATTTGTACTTCCTGAAGCCTGCGTGTTCCGGTCGTAGTTTTGAATCCAGCGCATTTTTTAGTCTCTCCAGGATGATGCGGCTTAATATTTTGCTTGTGGTGGACGGGAGAATATATATATATATATATATATATATATATATATATATATATATATATATATATATATATATACATGGATCGTCGGTGACGGCTATAACTACACCAAGTTCCTAATTGTTCACTTCGGTGAATACCCCTAACTTTTAACCAGTAAGCAACGTGTTCGAACTGTGATCTACATACAAAGAATCAGAAAGTCATATGTTATGATTAACCATAGTACAATTTGCGCGATTGACAGTCAAGTGACTGAACTTGTAAGTTATATTTTAGTAGTGTTGTATAAGCATGCTGAAAAAAGTATCAACAGTTGCAAATTACTAGAATCGTTCGAGTTAAACTCACTTGATAGGCATAGTACAACTGCACAATCCATGGACTTTCGCCATGTGACATAATTTCCCTTTCAGCCCAATAATCTGTATGTTGTGCAAGCATACGTGATTTCTTCAACACTTTCATTGCACATACACGACCAGTTGTAATTTCACGTACGAGTTGAACACGACCAAAAGCCCCATGACCCAAAGAACTGATGAACGAAAAATCTTGAGGTTTACGACGATATGATTGCAAACACATTGCTATGTTGAGATACCTTCAGAAATAACATAGAGAAATACGTAACTACCTGAAGCAAAGTTGAGTAGCATTTTAGTAAACACATTCCTCTCAGTAAAATCATAACATTTCAACTCTTATAAATGAAAGTTTCAGGGTGAATAACTAATGTCGAAGATATGTAGAAAATCAGAGGATAATGCGGTTCTTTCAGTCCAGTTTAAAATTCTCTTCACAGGATAAGCTTATTAACACTTTCTCTCACTAAAAGTTGTTCCTTTAAAACTTAAGCTAGTTAATTCGTCGAAATCTTGCTGTCACAACCTTTTGATTCATGACATAGTGAGACTTTTTTTAAGCACCGAAACTGACTGCAAGTCATCCCTTTTAACACTCATGACTCTACTGGTTGAGCATCAATGCTTATACGTAAGACGTGAGTTAATTTGGTTTGCCAAATATAAACACTAAGCGAGCTCTCCCACGAATAATTTAATAAACCATAGATGAAACTATAATCCTGATCGGTAGAGAAATGTAATCCATCACAGGGTATGACAACTGAGCATACATTCGGTTACCTTTTCAATGTATGACTTAGGAGGAAGAAAGAATGTTACTAAGTTTTGTATATTCTCCAAATGTCCACTACCCTAGAACAATTTAGTCAGCTTCCATCAGCTATTGCTACCCCTGTACAGAAGCTATAGATATCATTGGTAGAATCTAACAAAGAAGACTATATCGGATATCCCATCTTCAGTGGAACTCTTCAACTAGGTGTATCTGCATTCTAGTGTTTTATTGTTTCATGGATTAGTGTAAACATATGGTTGTTACACATTAAAAAGTTACAATGCAACTCTCTTGCGCGATAAAAATTAGTTAGTACTTTTGTTACTTGCAATTTTTCACTTCATATTTCTCGACATAAATGCACCCTGAATTTCACTACTAATCATCCCCACGAAATGTCAAGGAAAAATGAGTCAAATCCTGTAAAGTTTTGTAAAAACATCCCCTACACCCAGCCGAGATTCAAGAATTTTTGCTTGTTTCCTTCTAGTTTTTTGCACATATCTGCTGCTACACAGTTATTTGAACTATAAAACAGGAAAGTAAAGGTAAATTCATGTACAATGACCGTAAAGAATAGCGATAAATATATCAAAAGAAAACTAGGCGGTGTGATTTCAACCAGGTAAGGCGAACTTCGTGTGGAAAAAGATGGCAGAAAAGAAAGTGCAGCAGAAAAAAACTATTTACAACTAAAATAATCAGGTAATAAAGTAAAGATGAGAAACAAATACCGTATCTGTTCACCATTGGACATTAAACTCTGTAAACTTACAAATGTCAAGTTGCTGATGACCTTATGCGCTCCAGTGTAGCTAAGAGCACGCATAAAAGCCAATGGTGAAAATTAGTCTGCACAATATCAAGAAGACCGAATTCAGCGCATATCAAAACAATGTCTAGTAATGATGCGGCAACTAACAGTATTATGTAACTGTCCAACATCACAAATCTCATATGACATCAATATACCATCAATATCAATATATCATGAAACTGGCAGTAGGCGCACACCAGTCCTGGAGAACTATTCTAAATTTAACATGTACGAGACACATGTCGAACATACTCAGATTTCTGTTAAAGATATTTAGGACAGCCTATTCACCTAACACCACAATATCGTCCGGATAATCCAAGGCAACCGGATGATCTCCAGGGAGCAGACCAATCCCTCCGAAGGCAGACATACCTAAATTTATGTCAATTACTACGTATATAACGAAGTTGAATAGAAATGATGATATTGGCCTCCCTGGCGTCAATTCACATGACAACTCTCCATAAGTCCTTAAACGACTGCATGTGTTCGATTGGAGAGCTTTGATTAGCATTATATACTTGCTCGGTACTCTCTTCACACTCAGACACTGCCATAACACCTCAAGGCAGACAGGGTCAAATCCCACCCTCACGTCGAGAAATATGGTTAGTTTCGGTCGCCGGTAAGAATCCCAGCGTACCAGGACCTGTCGTAGTGTGAAAATATGATCGATGCAACTTCGAAAAGGTCTAAAATCTGACTAATTTTTTCGAGCTCCAGATAGGCATCAGAAAATTAAGGACTCCAGGATCTTGGATACGATGTTAGTTAATCTGATTCCCTCACAGTTGTCATAAGGAAACTTCTCTTGTTTCTAGCAAACCAAAATGATCAGTGAAGTAGACCAGTCTGACGTCACTAACTCTGATTCCCAAGCACTAACTAGTACCTTTGTATCTCTGATCAGCAATTTTTACCTCCATCCTTGAAAGCTTTTGATGGCAAACCGTCACTTGCTACATTTGCTTCATTTCATGTTCCAAATAGCCTTCTCAAGTTTGACGACAGTTGTAGGACCGACATCTACATCCTCTTCAGGTTCAGGCTGGGTGTCGGACAACTGAAGTATTGCTGTAGGTCAGTTAAACTGTGCTTCAAAGTGTTCCGCTTATAGTTCTGACCGCTTGTCCTTGGAGGTTATCGGCATCCCATCATATCCGTGATGGTTTCGCTCTGCTTGCCGGTATGTTTAATAAGCCCAAATATTTGCCGAGTGTTATCCAACGCTAATGCCTTCTCCATCTTTCTCGCTCTCGCCGCCCACTAATGCTGGCGATCATTGCGAAGTCTCTGATTCAAATTACGTTTCAGTTGCCTACGATCTTCAACGTAGTCCCAGCCAGCTGCAATTAGTCTTGTCGCATCAATCAGTTCGGATGACGTTTGATAACCTTTGTGCATAGGTTACCAACTGTCTGCAATGGTGTTTCTACTGCAAACTTAATGTTACGCCACGCCAGGTTTCCTCAGGATAAGCACTGCTGTCATGTCCAGACAGATGCTTAACTAACTCCTCCCTAAATGCGTTCTTGGCATCCTCATCTTCCAATCGACCATAGATAGGCTGTTTCCTGCGACCAGTAAGGTGCAGACGTACGAGAGGTTGTACTAGAACACAGTCAGAGTCCAAACAGGTATTCTAGAAAGAGTGAAAATCCTCTACTAACCCTCTCCAATGACGACTTATAGCAATATGATGTGTCCGTCGTTGGTTTCATGTCAGGGGAAAGCTCCAACATGAAATCGATGGTGGGGTCCAAGGAGACTACGAATGAGGTTTCGATGGCTTTGGTCGTTGTTATTGGTTGCAGAGTAAGGTTGGAGGTGTAAAAGGCTTAATATTAGTATCAGGAGGTGAAGACAAAAGAGGAGACAGAGTTGGGGAGAATAGGTTATGTTTGATTGGGTCTTGTGTGCTACTGGACGCCTGCGGGTGGTTGACACTGCCCGGTTGCCCAATCCATGTAAGGTTATTTCTCCTTAAGTTAACTGAAAGAGAAAAAGATTCGTATGATTGCAGAGTCCATGGAAAATCTACTTGAGGCCTGTTACATACAGTCTTTTGCGACTAGTTGTTTTGAGGTTTGGTTATTCTAACACAGAACAGCGAAAACCTAAGCCGCCGGGACCAGAAGACCGTGGGCCAGGGAGGAGTGTGCTTTTTCGATGTGAGACCTTCTCTAACTTCCCACCTTTTCATTGAAAAGTAGCACTGCTGGTCATCCAAGGAAAACACTTTATTGCTATCAAAAACCCAACCAGTCAGCAGTACGATTTCGTCATCAGATCCCCATCACATTGCACTAATTTACACCACATCGGTAACTGCTCTTTGTTTTACTACTATCCAACAAACCTTTCTGGCATAGTAGGACCTAGAGGGAACAAGCGTCCTAGTCAATGTAGCTCATTGTTATTGAGATATGCAAGCCACATCAAGGTAGCAGCTACCGGCCGGGTCTGGTATGAGAAGGCAGCATCAGTATGGAATGCAGGACATCAGCGGGAAACAGCTAACTGCTGTCATACCCCATTCAGTCAACAGTACAATTTTGCCCTCTGACCCTCATCATAGAGTTAGCTATTAACACTACGATAGCAACCATTCTCAGTCTAGCCACTATTCAACAGACGTTTCTGGTATGAAAGGAATTGAAGGGACAATCATTCCTATCAGCATAGATGGTCTGGTCATTGCAACAGGCAAACCTGACCACCACGTCAAGGTAGCAGCTGTCGATCGGTCATTGGATGGTTTCCATTGTGTTGGTGACCATAATGAGAACTAGATCTACAGGTTTTGATAGACGTTAAATTCTGAAAGCCGCAACGAGTAACCAATTTGGTTGTAAACATAATCCGTCTCTACATGAAGTCATTTGGGAGCTGAATAGTTTAATGCGAACAAGGGTACGCCTTACCAGCAATAAAGAAACCCAAAGCAGAGTTTTACTTTAAACTGATCTGAATGAATCACTGGAATGGTCGAAATGATGGAGTTCGGAGATCAATGTACGCTGGTTCATGTTGATATTGGAGACTCTAATCACCGCTACGTGAATGGATTATCTGTTTTATGTCCTAAAATAAAAAGACTTGGGTGTCGCCATGAATAACGTCTTTAGAGCAACAACTCACTGTAGTAAATCTGTAGCTATGGTGTTTTGATTGATAGGTCACATGGAACAGTCTTCTGTTGTTTTTAATAATAATAATAATGATCCCTTTATTCCAGACGAAACGTTTGGTACGTTTTTGATGAAGAAATGTTTAGCATACTTCCTCCTACTTGCTTAAGGTCTCATCTATAATACTGCAAACAGACGGCCAGTTTGCTCTAAAGAAAAGTTAATACACTGCAATGTATCCTAAGGGAAGATATCCAGTTGTTAGCAGAACTTTCTCACCTTTTATATGAATAAAAAGTAAAAAGATTATATCTCTTTCTTCTTTCTTATCGCAGGAATAGATGGATCTTCCGTTAACATTTCGCATTTTAAATGATTTGAGTTTCCGTATACCTAATGGACTTCTAGGATTAATCACTTAACACTTTATCACCAGAAAGTCTTCAAACCAGGGTCGAATAAACTCTGAGGGGAATACAAATTCTCCTATAAAATGACCAATCATTTGGATAGGTTACTACAAAAAGTGGTAACGGCTCCTTCGGTGAACAAGTTTTAGAAGCTGGATCTACATATAGATAACCACTACTAGGATTATAACACTTCAACTAACCTTATATCCATATCACGGAACTGATACTAAGCATAATGATAGTTAAATCTATACATCTGATACCATATGAACAAGTACCTATTCCAAATAAGAACTGATCGAATGAATAAATCTGTCAATGGGCTGATATTTTCCAAAAAATATTTATCTGTTCAAAATTAAAACTAGCTTCACAACAAAGTTAGTATTGCGCCGCTCAGTCTGGTGAGTGATGAATACATTAGTTATACCGAAAAAAACCAGTTAGTCAACGTGTAAGAAAAAAGGAATGTATTTGAAGCAAATCATTAGGACTCTTTTCAGCGAAAGAATGACACTTCGCTAAACATCTTTTGCTTTACGACTTACTGAGGATTTTTAAACTACTGAATTGACTCTGTTGATAATAAATATGATTACAGATTGAAAAAATTCGACGACGATTTCAAAGGACAAAATAAAACTAACTGATCTAAACATTTGCTGTGCATAAACCTTTGAACATCACGTGATTCTCCACACAATCCTTCACTTACTTCCACATGAGAATTTCAGGATACATGCAAATGACAACAGTTTAAAGCTTGTTTTAAAAGATTATGCAAAAATTCCCCTTTAGACATCTAGTAAAACAAACAATGTGAGCGAAGAAATTCTAACCGGCTTATGATGCTTTCCAGAGGGCCATTTTCTAATTTTGCTAACTTTCTCTTCGATAAGGAATTCTATAGACAGTCAGATGGTGTCGCTATAGGGTCACCACTAGGCCCAATCTTAGCGGATTTCTTCTGAGCAAAATTAGAAAATGACCCTCTGGAAAGCATCATAAGCGGGTTAGAATTTTATTACCGTTATGTAGATGATACATTCCTGATTGTGAATAACGAGGACGATGCAAGGATCATACTGGATGAATTCAATGGCATCCATCCAGCAATAACCTTCACTATTGAAACAGAAAGCGACGACAGCGTCACCTTAGATGTCCGATTGACAAGGAAGGTGGATGGAACTATAAAAAGAAGTGTGTATCGGAAACCAACGTCAACAGGTCAATACACCCACTTCTTGAGTTTCGTCCGCTTGCAATATAAACGAAATCTCGTTAAATGTTTGGTCCATCGGGCGAGACTCATCTGTTCAGATGATACTTTTGACGAAGAGCTTCAAATTATCCACGATATACTCAGTAGTAATGGATATCCAGAAACGTTCCTGGCTAAAAATATGAACACATCCAATATGAAAACCAGAATGCCTACAGTCTCCAAGAAACCATTGTTCCTAAGACTACAATTTCGAGGTGACATCATCAGCGAAATTGTGACACAACGCTTAAAAGATGCCATAAGAAGATCATTTAATGCCGCCAAGTTATGTTGTGTTTTCTACAGCCGGCCGATGATGACCACACGAACTAAAGACAAACTCCCTGACTTCTCCTCTTCTATGTGCATTTACCAGTTCAACTACTGTGGAGCTAGTTACATTGGACGTACAGTTAGGCAAGTCCGTCGTCGAATCGCCGAGCATCATCCTTCATGGCTAAGTAATGGGGAAACCAGATTAATACGGAGCTCAATACTCTCTCATCTGATTGACACCGGCCACCGAGTTAACATTCATAATGCCTTTAAAGTTATTTATCACATTCCTTCTCACCTCACCCATGCTCTACGAGTTCGTCTTTTACATACAGCAGAAGCCATAGGAATCCACCTAAACAAGCCAAGTCTGTGTGTTCAGAAGAGATTCGTACAGCCTCTTTCTTTGCCTTGGCCATCTGTATAGCTCATTTATTACAAGAAGACTCTTCATTTCATCCACCACACAATTCACTATAACTAATATTTTAATAGCTCCATTATTATTATTATTATTATTATTATTATTATTATTATTATTATTATTATTATTATTACAGACTTAACCATCTTTCTCTCCCCCTATTGTCTCTAATTACCGTCAACAATTTACCATTTTACGTAACAGTTCATTTTCGCTCTTCAGTTATCATTATACAAAATATCAATTATGTAAGAACCTGTTCACAAAATCTTTCTACGATAATTAATCTCTGCTTTAGTTAACTGTCTTAATTACCTGATCAATTATCACCTTGATACTTTGAGATTGATAACCTTTCATTGAACAACCCCTACCACTAGATTGGTATGTAATTTTACGTTTGAAAATGCTATATTAGTGTTGAGCCATCGATGAAGAACTAATTGAAAAGAAATATTTCTTCGCTCACATTGTTTGTTTTATTAAAAGATTATACCTATTCCCTTGTGTGTCACTATTACTAATGTTTCTTATGCCTCATACTCTTACCCTTTCGAACGACGTCAGTGGTGTGCATAAAGTAGACGATGAGAGAAGCATAATGGATTCAAAGTGCTTTTTCGGTGAGGCTGAGTATTAATTGATTTCTCCATGCAATACCCATAAACTTTTAATCTTAGATACCTTCGTTAACGTTCAGTATAATAAGATATTTTAGTGAATTTTCAAGAAACTAAGAAGTAACTCAAAACTTAGGTATGGAATTGATCCTACAATAAATTATATTCTGTAATAGTTAACAGTAGAGTTCATGGTACACCTTTCATCTTGCAAAATATGCATCAGATGAGTTTTTCAGCATCCTGGTATATGCTGATATTTGTACTGATACCAGAATTCTGCATGCAGCGTTTCGAACTCCCGAATGCTATTCACTAGCCTACAGGGTAATGAAAGTTGACTTTTTCACTATTTCATTAATGAACCTCGAAAGAGAACAACTAAGACGACAATTAAAAGTTAAGTATGAACGACGAATATTCTTTTCAATAACTTTTTGTCATGTCCTACAGTTATAAATTCAATTTTTTTAGAATAGTAATTGTTAAATTTGCAGTACAAAGTTAAACAATCTAATTGCAACTACAATTTTATATCCACTCTAAAATGCATTTGGCGTAGATTTGGCTATTACTATGGCAAAGACATTGCAAATAATATGGATGAATTTAACAACATGAGCGTAAAGATACCTTTGTAAGAAAGATAGCATGTTTTCATTTTTCACACTTTTCACTGTTTTTGTACATTCCGTAACGCATGCCACAACTATATCAAGCAGCCGTTCAATATAACAATCCGAAAAAGGATCTGATAACAGCTTTTCCAAAGCCACAAGCCTTTCTTTGATATCTATGTACTGGTCGGTTTGAAACTCGCTAAGGCTTAAGCATGACTTGTTCATGATGACTAAAATTCAAAAGGGAAAATTCAGTAACAATAAAATGATAACTACACGGCACCCAGCAAATTGAAAATGGAATATGCAACTTTTTTAAACTACTGACTGGTTATGCTTAGTGATACCATTGCCGTAAACACACATACACACACACACTTTGAACACGCAGATAGTGACCAGATCAATGATAACAAATATTAGGACAAATTACATCAGCATCAGAAGAAGCAAGATCAAAAGCTGTAGAAATAATACAATAAGAAGTATAAGGGACTGATACAGACAAACAGACAGAATCAACGCACAACCTCGCACGAAAGTGAATCACACACTTCACAGTACCATACAAAGAACAAGTGGATAGAAAAAGAGTGATATCAAAGTTGACATAGTTGTGGGACAGAATAAACAATTCGAAGATAAAGATCAAGGAAAATATTCAGGCTTCATAAGACGTCAAAAGTGAATACATCGGCGCCACTGTGACCAACCCCCCACCATGTCACCAACAGTCATCAATCACTCATTCCTACTATCTCGAGGACACAGATTAGACAGTCTACATCTCCCAATACGGTTCAGACCAACTGTTACGGACTTTACCCACTAGTGTCACATCTTGGTCTTGCTACCACCCTGAACCCTCACCCAACCTAATCCAACTCCCCCTAGCATCGCATGCCGACGTAGGCGCTGACTCGGCATGTTCAGCCCACCTCCAACTCACCTCAGTCCACTAAAGTTCACAATGTCATCAATTCAATTCCCTACCTTGACCAGCACCCTTCCTATAACATTAACATTGCACACACGGTGATTCCAAGAAACGACAACAATGCTACCAACACACCTACAACCGCCTCATGTCTTCTACCTGCAACACCCATGTCTCACAGCCATATAACAGGACACGACAATCTGCAGCACAGTACACTCATGTTTTGACAGATAGTCGAATATCTCGCCAGTCAGTGCTATAGATGACCGAAATCGGTAAGATCAAAGTATATCACTAAGTGTCTACAGGTAATGATTCCTCTACTTTTTTAATCTAGTTACCAAAACTCGGTGAACAAGTACCGTATCACATATTAGGCTGTCAACGCTGAAGCGGATGATCTTGAAACTTTATTACTGGTTGGAAAATTAGTGCTTGCACTACTGACATTTCAGGTTGAAGTTTCTATCCGATGCTACCAAGATAAGTTTATCTGCTACGATTGTGGCAGACATATATATGGTTAGTTGAGAATAGTGGGTGATTTGTGGGTGGCACATTTACTTTGTTGATACCACAGTATGGCGACGATTTTTTTGTACGTATGAATTCAGTAGTATGTGAGAAACAGTTTACTTACAAGCGAGGAAATGGACAAGAGCAATTAGTTATGTTAGGTTGCGATGTAAAACGAAAAACATGATAATTTCCGCACTACTACCTACGGAAAATCAACACACTACCAAACGTCTAGACTTTAGGTCATGATGTCTAATATCAGTTGAAGTGGGTTTGGTAAGATGTTGAAATAAGAGAGCTACAAAAATCACTAGTGAACCAAAAGAAAAATAGTGAAATGAAACACATTAAGGAGACACTAATAGTTAACAACTGACTTATAGAGTTTTTCAGGAAATTAATGGGAAATAAGTGAAGCAATAATGCTGTTCTGACCAGTAACTGCAACACAAATAGTAACTGATCGTCTCTATTTTGTTAACATATCAGATTTCAAAGTCAATCACCATTTTAAAGCATGTAGGTATATTAACTTTACCTCTAGTCTGATTCCCCGGTTTCCCGAAGGCACTGCAACCAGCTAATGTACTGAATAAAAAAATGAGACATGAAATTTTATAAGTGTTGGACACCAGTAGGTAGGTCAGGTATGTCCTGCAGATTAATTCTGGATCGCAAACTAGAAAACCTGAAATTTGGCTTTTTGTACACTGATCAAACTATTTTCCCAAGAATATATGAAATCTGGCAACGTGGAGAAATAAGGATAAACTACAATACAAAACCCTTAATCGTTATTGGAATAAGCTAATTAACCGGGTTAGGCCTCAATAAACAGGACACTAACAATCATTTACCCTAATCTAATGTGCCAAAGTAAAATGAAGAATGAATATTCTGAAAAATATGCACAAGGCGTAAGCAGTTCACAAATAATTACGCCGGCAAAAATCTAATACAGCTACGACAGTCAGAACGACTAGCCACAGTGACTACCTTTAAGAAGTTTTACAATAGTAAATGTCCTATTGAACAAATCCACAATGCAAAAGACTTGTCTGAAATTAGAAACTTGAACATGTGCTGACTGGTCTTCATTCCAGTACCATAAATGAAAGCTAAAGATCAAAAAATTATTAAGTATTTATCTGGCAAACCTATACACTAGTGAGTACCGGAAAGTGACAGAAACTCTATGAATAATGACTAAAGTTCAGCAACATTCTTAATATTTTTTACCTATAACAAACGTAGTGCAGCACGGAAACTAAAATATGCATTACATAACATAATATGGTTGTATTATGAAAACAAGTGAAATTGAGATGGAGGGAGGGAGAGAGAGTAATGGAAGTAATGAAGACTAAAGGAGGCTAAAACTTTATAACTATTAGTCCCGACTGCGATTTCTGTCTGGTTGTTCAAATGAGTGAATCGCATGTGTGACCCTAATTAGAAAGCCTGAATCTACTAAAAAGCAAACGCAAATACCCTTAATTTCATGACAACTTTAAAGACTACTGATGGCAGTCACACCAACTTTTAATTTTCACTTCCAACGGTAATTGTTTTAACCCTAAAGCTGGGGTTATTACTGCTTTGAGGAATTTCTGCGTGATCCATTGTGCAAGTGATTTAGTGGAATGGACCAACATATATCAGACCGTTAAGAACACGTATGAACTCAACCCTTACAAGCGCAGGTGAATCGGAACCGTAATCAAATACTAGTTTTTATTGTCTCTAAACGTCCGTTTGCGTCTTCGAGTGAATTACCAGATTTTCCAAGTCTAGTTCCATTTGTGGCACAGCAATAATATGGTATAACCAATAGTAGTGAAGACAATTGAATTTTAGCTACAGGTAACATGTTGAGCCCAATCCAACCAACATTTGGGCATTTACGATGCACCACTAATCGTTCAGTAAGATGCGGCGTAAATACGATGTAACATACTACACATGGTTGTGACTTGCATTTCATCACCCACAAATCACCTTTAATAAAACCAAGGAACTTAGTACAAGCTACTGAAACACTATGATTCCCATATGGCCTTCAGAGAGTACTCGTATAGACCAAACCTACTTCCCAGTTTGTCAAGGTATCAGATGAAAACAACTACAGGAGGAATAATCCAAGAAGCGAATACTGGTGAGACATAAGTAGAGAAAGGTGCTATTTGTTTGCAATTATAATTATTTTCTTTGCTAAAAATATCAACTAAAAATCGGTAAGAAAAAATATGGATGTACGCAAAAGAGTATCACTTCCTGCTATTGCAGTATGTGGTTATCCTGAAGGACACTACATCAAAAAATTTCAGTCTGCATTTGATTCACTTTTCATTTAACTTCCCGGATTCTCCATCTATAAGCTGATGGAGTGCTAATTTTTGCTCGCTAATTTAACCACCACGAACAACTAATTACGCAACCCAATAATCCTTATCGACTCATTTCCAACTATCTAATGCGGCAATACTTTTGTCCAGTCTCTTGATGAATTTAAGGAGAACCAAATGAAGCAAAACACTTGCAGCATTCTATGTTAGTGTATCCCATTCCACTTAACCACCGTTTTCCTTACCTCTTGGTTGCATTTTTTTCTCCACTCATTTTAGTGTCGATGGGGTATACTGCTGAGGCTTATCTGACCCACACCTTTTCAAACTCAAATGACACATGAAAAGCAAACTTCACTGTATGGTGAGAAGTTTCTCATGACGCAGTATCCCCAAGGATGAAACCGCATTCTAACTAGTTTCCCCGCAACACCGCACACCAGATCACACATTTCGAAACTTTCAGAAATGGAAACTTTGAATGTTTCACTGCAGACCGACATACTATTAGTTTGCGCGGACTGAAACCAATGGGAATAATCAAACTGTCGACATTTCACAAACATCTACTCGCTGTATGCTCTCTGACATTTCCAAGCATACAAGAATTATCGACTGCCAAAACTCGACTAACAGCAAAAAAAAGCAGCGTTAGCTGATAACTGAACAACTAAACAAACAATTGTGTGTTATTTGAATAACGAACAAATATCTCACAACATCTATCAAAATATGATGAGGCACAACATGAGCTAAATCCGTTTTGTCATGAGTCCAAAAGATAAGTTTTTAAAAACTTTTGGAGGCATAACATCAAAACATAAAGGTAAACATGGAAAAGTACATACCTGAAGTTATTAGAGAAGTACCGCATATATTTAAGGAGCCACTACTTTCAACCTTACTTCGTTCAATATCTGTTCAGTACTCATTGTTAAGAACAGCAACTCATTTTTCGTTTGCTAATCCTCACAGTGGATGTCTCTTTGAAGACCTGGTTTATTTTTGGAGGTGTTTACCAAAGAGGTGATGCAACGTGCTGAGGCAAGGAGTTCTAGTCGTTGCACGTTTTGGATGAAAAAGGTACATTCATGCTAAGGTTATTTATTTCTGGCTTTTGCACTTTCCTCTGATGGTCTAGGTTTGCTCTGCCCTTAACGGGAGACCCCCAGGGTGGTGTTTACTCTTAAGATTTAAAAAGAACCTTTCAGGATATGGGGGATTACGTCTGATGTGATTCATCGCGATGATACCCCCTCTCATCATTCCGTATCGTACCGATTACAATTAAGCAACTAGGTGATCCGGATAAGGTTTATTCCATGACCTGGTCATATTTTTCGTAGCCCTTCTCCAAACCACTTTTAGGATGGCAACGTCCTTCTTCAAGTAATGGGATGTCATGAGCTAATCTTTCTACAAATGAGAACGGATATAAATTTTATGCATTGTAGTGAAAGACGTCGCAGTTCGACTTCTTGACGTTCAAAAAGTAATCCCAAGACTCCGCAGGCCTATTAGGCTCCAAGGTGACAGCAAACGGAAGCTCCAAGTGCATCACCTAGCGTAACTCCGGGATCTTTTCCAATGTTTGGGTGACAGATAATTCACCCAAGCGAATAAGAACTGTTCCATCTCTCTATCCCTCAAAAGTCGTTATCTCACACTTCGCCGTGCTGCAGGGGAACGGGTTTTCGGTATTTTAACCTGGGATTTCGGAACGCTCCTCCAAAACTTCCACCAGCTCTTGTATCTCCTTCCAAATTTCCAGATCATCGGCATATGATAGTAGATGGGAAGTGAGGGACTCTGGCAGATTATTGATAATAATAATATTTATTCCTGGATTCACAAGTGCACATCATTTTTCATAGATGTGCTAAGGCGTCTAGTGGCGAAAAATCTATATGAGTTTTTTGTCATCTCTCCTTCATTCCAGGGAGTGGCAATCCCAGGGCTAAAAGAAAGATTTCACCTCACATACAAATAAGGCACGCTAAGTTACATGTTGAGTGTCTGTGTTTATTCAAATGTATAGTAACGTTTTCTGGCAGAAGTGAAAATCGTGTTTCATGGGTGTGTAATAGTATCATGCGAAGAAGAGGGAGAAGTAGTTCATAAGGCTCATCCTAAAAGAAGTAACGCTGGCTGAATTCCTCAAGGATCTTCATCCGATAATAATAATAATAGTAGCATACAGTTGCACACTACTTTCATAAGCGCTTTAATTTCTATGTAGGCTACATTTTTCTTAAGGGCTGGTAATCTCAGTCCCCACCTATTCACTCACCGAAGACACACGTATTGCGTGTTCTTGGGATGAAGCTTGGCATCAGAGTAGGCATTCACAAACTTGCAGGAATGACAGGTGGAAGTAGTCTTTGCACCAATAAAAGACCAGGACTTGCGTCTAATCGCCACATGTATCGCCAGGAGAAAAATAAAGCTTGAAGCCAATACCTCCATCGTTGCACTTCGTGTATTTTGTGTAAGAATAATGGTGGATAATGGCAAAAGCAACCTCGCCTGGTTGAGTAGTTCATTAGTTACTAGTCGGCCCTAAGCTCGGGTAGAGAGGGAAGGTTGGGCATAGGGCCAGCAACCCTACCCAGAAAACCAATCCAACCGCTACAGAAACTTCAAAGCACAAACAAAATATAAAAAATAAAAACAAACTTATTCCTCGCTGGAATCAGAGAGGCGAAATGACGCCAGTTGGTGAAAGCCTTCAATAAGCCAATTCACCGATGTGTCTTCTCCCCTCTCGATGAAAGCGAAAGTAAGCATGGGGACACGGAATGTCCGCACCATGTCTGAACCCAGCAAGGCAGCCCAGATTGCAAACGAGGTGAAGAGGTATCACATTGAAGTGCTTGCAATATGCGAAAGCAGATGGAATGGGATTGGACTCTCCAAACTGTCAACTGGAGAATCAATAATATACTCCGATATTGTCACCCACACGACAACCACGAGCACACTGAGTTTTGGAATGGCTATCATGATGTCCCCAACAGCATCGAAAGCTCTCATGCAGTGGGAACCAATCTCCTCCAGGATCAGATCATGACAGCAAGGTTCAACTCAAAAGGAAGGAAAGTCACAATCATACAATACTGCACTACGCGCCAACAGATAATGTAGATCAAGAGGAGAGGGAGGGATTCTACAGACAACTGCAATCAGTAATGGACAAGACCTCAGTTGAAGACATCAAAATTCCAATGGGTAGGAGCGGACAGCGCCGGAAAAGAACTCATTATGGGCCGAGAAGCACTCGGTGAGTTGATAAATGAGAATGGAGAATTGTTTGCAGATTTCTGCGCATTCAACGATTTGGTGATTGCAGTCAGGCAGTGTGTACAAACACAAGGATATTTACAAAGCGGCACGGACTTCACCAGATGGACATACTAGGGATCAGGTCGACGTCATTTCAATGTGAAGAAAATGGAGATGCAGTCAGCCTACTCCACATGGGATCAGGAAGGGTAGCAGATGTAGGTTCACACCACTCACTACCTAGTACATATAACCTACCTTCAAAATCAAGTTGAAGGCCTTCAAAGAAGGAGCTGGTGATGATAGACCACAGTTCAAGTTCAACACCCAGAACGGAAACTGAAGGACGAAACTAGAGGGAGCATCTACACGTCAGCCGTCAGGAAAAATAGGGAGAAATCGAGCAACATCCCTGAAGGATCGGGCGTTGAAGATCACGGGAACTCTTTGAAAACTGTGTGGAAAGAAACCTACATAACCGCATCAGGAAGGAAGAGGAAACAAGGCCAGACAAGGAATGGATCTTGACGGACACATAGGAGCTGACAGAACAGGGAGAGGAAGATGGTGAAGCAGAAGATAAACCAGTGCAAGATCGCGCAACGAAGAGACAAGCTGAGCACTAGGTATGAAACACTGGACAATGAGGTGAAGAAGAATGAGTGCAAAGACAAAAGCGCCTCTACGACACATTGGCAAGTGAAGCAGTACAGGCCGCATGTAGGAGAGACCTGGCAACACTGCACCAAATAACCAGGTTGACATCTGGGAAGAGATAAACACAGATGAAACCGATAAAATATGATGAAGGGGATCTAGTTACTAAGGCAGAGAAATAGAGGAAACGATGGACTGACCACTTCTAAAAACTCTTGAATCGACCACCACCTTCGCTTCGTCCACAAATGCCACCTGGAGCTACAGAACTACGTGTGAACGCAGGCTCTCCGACAAAGGCAGAGGTTCTGAATGCCATAAAACTGCTGAAATTCAAGAAAGTAGCATGACCGGATGGAATTCCGCCGGAAGCAGTGAAAACAGACTCAGAGACAGCAGCGGACATGCTCACACCACTACTGCAGAAGGTTTGCAAGGAGAAAAGGAAAGGTACCTGCCTGTCGATTGGAAGAAGAGCTACCTTGTCAAACTTCCAAAGAAGGGCAACCTAAGCCATTGCAGGAACTGTCGATGACTCATGCTGCTGTCCACCACAAGCAAAATATTTTGCCACATCACCCTGGAGAGGCTAAGTAATGCTCTGGATTCAAAATTACGACCAGCACAGAATGGCTGGCATAAAGAAGAACGAATCATGCGTGAACCAAGTTGCAGCGCTACGCTGAGCATTATCACACAACAGAGTATAGAAAGCCATTCAACTCTCTACCTCAACCTTATCGACTTTGAAAATGCCTTCGACGGCGTCGAGAAGTAATTATGTGGGCAGTTGCACCGACACCATGGAGCGTCACAAGTCTTTATCAGCCTCATCCAACAGCTATGTGAAAACGCCGCGTGCCAAGTGATTCACAGTGGAAAGCTCTGTGACGCCTCTGAAGTGAAGACAGGAGTTATGCAAGGCTGCCTACTATCACCCATGATATTTCTGCTGTGGTGAACTGGATCATGCGGCAAATCTTGAGGGGAAAGAACAGGGGGACACGCTGGACCGGGGGAAAGATCCTAGAAGACTTGGATTTTGCCGACGACTTGTGTCTAATGTTGCACAAACTCGAAGATCTACAGGCCAAAACTAACAAGTTGACAGAAGAGGCAGGGCAGCGAAAGAAGGCGGGACTTAAAATGAGTGTGGAGAAGACAGAGGTGATGAAGATACAGAACCAATAACAGCATCAACAGCAAGCATCAACCACCATCAATGGCAGAAACCTAAAGGAAGTAGTCTCTTTCACCAGACTTCTTAGGCGGCAATGTTTCAACTACAGACGGCACAGGCACAGATGAAGACGTCAAAACGGGATTGGAAAGGCAAGACAGGCTTTCCCTAATCTGAAAACAGTGTGGAGATCTACTGCACTCAGCACGAAGAAAAATATTGTGATTTTCAACACCATTGTCAAGTCAGTGCTGCCATATTTTTAATTGAGTTTAATGACATTCCGTCAGTACCACTCAGGGCTCAAGTCTTGTAGATATTTTGAGATGTATCAACGTGACGAAGCCTGTAAACTGGCCTCTCTCATGTTTAAATCTTTTTTGCGCGAGAATAAAACATTTATTTATTTATATGGTTCCGAAACCTAATTATGTTAATAATATATTTCATACTTATAAGTTACATGAAAACAAACTGGTTTACAGGTCTGGTCATTTTGGTAAAGTGAACTGACTGTCATGTACAATATAAAGCTATACAATGGACACCGTTCTTTTTGGTACATAAAAGATGCGTCTAGAGTAAGAACGTTAATGCTTTGCAGGCAGCAAAGAATGAAACAGATAAGCGCCAGGATAATTGTTCATCATACTGAGGCAAGCTCAGTTTGAAAGCAGGAAATATTCGGCTATTGTTTGAATCTTCCAGTATTCTTTAAGGTAGGGCGGGTAGTACAGCTGTGACCTTGGGCTTTATGCTTTCCTCATAAGGTCTAGATGGCATAGTGCGCGCCGACAA